GCCTTGGTCCTTGAGCAAGGTCACCTACATTCAATGTCGCTGCAACATGTCAGCAACATGGGGTACGCTGGCAAGGAAATTGTCATACCTACTTGGCTAATGGCTCCCAGCAATTATAGGTAATTCCACTTCAGTATAACTGTGTCCTAGCATAGCAACTGTGGAGTTATAGAACCATAATACCCCTTTCAGCTCTTTAAAATCATGTATGCTTTTAAAGACTACATGAACTCAACACACAACAAGGGTGCAGGATGTTAAGAGACACTGAGAGTTAAAAGGGAGTGTATTTACACTGTATTAGTGTTATTAGAATTGCCATCACACTGTACAAAAAACTAGTTGCCTTAGAACAATCAAAATGTATTGTCTTAAAGTGATGGGGACTGAAATCAAAACATGAGGAGGTCCATTCTTTCTCAAACAACCATGGGAACTATGATAACTCTGTCTCCTGCCTCTTCTAGCTTTTGGTGTTCATTGGCAGCTCTTAGTGCATGCCTCACTCCAGAAATGTGGCCGCCTTCACCTTGTGGGTCTTCACCCTGCCTTCCCTCTGTGTATTTCTGTCTGTGCTCCTTTTTTAAGGATTAAAGCCTACCCTGTTATCACATTTAGCTTGATTGCTTTGTAAAGACTTTTTTTCCAGATGTGGTCTGAGTTACTTGTGGTTCAGTGTGAAGTATATCTTTTGTGGGGATACAATTCATCCCAAATTAGAGTATTCCATGGTCAAGTTGGAATTTGAAATATAGGTTCTCTTTGCTTAGATAGACAGAAGGAATAAAAATAATGATAAAAATAATCTATCATCTTATTTATTCAAGACAAAAAGTAGCATAACTTGGTTTGAGAATTGCATTGTGTTGGGGGTAATAATATTGACTGTAGTAGCTAACACCAGCAGAGAACTTACCCTGTGCCTTTCACTTTCCCCACCATAGTCCATCTGTTGTCTCCCACAGCAACACTTAAGGTGTGTAATATTAGTGATGCAGGGGAATTAGGTAACTTCTAGCATGAAGCTAGAAGGCCAAGAATTGGCTTTGTCTGATTCCATCTATTTGCTTTTTACAATGACAGTCTGTTCTTCAAAGAACTAATGCAAGATGAATTTGGATGAGTAAATCTGGGCTTCTTTTTGGAAAGCTTTGGTAACCAGTCAGTGGAGTTTGTGTTTAATGGTACAGGACATAGGAAGGTCGTGGGAGCCATTTATAGCCTCTAAAGAGGTGTGACATGAAGAAAGAGATATTTTAAGAAGATGAGTGTGTCCTTTCTACCCAAGGATACATTTTCTTAAGAAGAGGAAGCAGACCTATAAATGAGATGCTCTTGACCATGAAGGGTTTCTTTTCACTAGGTTTTATCAAGTGGTTTGCCTCTTCTCCACTTGTGTCTCTTAACAAGAATACTTCAGCACTTTAAAAAGTGTACTCAGCTGAAATTTTTTCCTAAAATAATCTTTTAAGTTCTTTATACTAGTGATAAAGCTAATTCATAGCCAGAGTATATAGGTTGTTAGATGAAAACCTTCTTAGTATCTCTAAAAATTCACATATCAGACTCATTTCTGGTGAATCAAAGTTTAGCTTTCTGTGGGTACAGTGATCATCTTTCTCTCTGGCTTTGCCATATTTGCCTCTAGTGGAAGAAAAAAAGTATGCCAAGAGAAAGGTGAAAATAATGACAACAAAAAATAAAATATATAAAGTGCTTTAATGTATGCATAAATCATTTTCACAGGCCTCACCAAATGTCATACAAAAGTTTACACATAGGAAGTGTTGGGAAGTGAAGTCATCATGGTTCCTCTGAAATTCTATACTGGTCTGGGGAACATAGGATAGTAAAATCAAGTCTCATTGGTTTTGGAAGGATAACTTAAATTCAAATCCCCTCGTTTCAGTAACAGACATCTGGAGCAGTAGAGACCATATGTCTCCCTCAGGTCTTCATTCAGTCAACTTCCCTCCTTATAGAAGATCCCTTGGCAAGAATAGGTGAACTTACATCCACATTCATATGCCTATGTTCCCACAAAAAAACTTGACCAGATCTTCATTTTGATTACACTAACATTTATGTATTTGCCTTTTAGCTTTTTCCATTATCCTCCCAAGATGCTTTTCTTTTTGAATGTCCACAGAGCCAGCTGATCAAAGGTTGCCTCAGTATGGTCACACAAGAGTACAGTTGGATGGCAGAATTAAAAAAGATATATGGACTTCAGTTGGAGAGAAGAATAGAGGTCAATAGAACCTATGCCTTTTTGTTCTCTACTTTGGTGGTGTATGACACAGCCCCTCAGGAGACCTGAGGTTCTGTAGTCACTGATGTGACACTGGAGCTCCATCCAGAAACAGCTGTCCAGAGCTAATTTATTTCCTAATGCTGCAGCACTGTTAATTTATAAATTACACTGGTAATTCGAGCTATTATTAATTTCAGATGGTGTAGGGCAAGCCTAATTAAAATATGACACCAATTGCCACACATATGTACCAAGGACTACCATTTAAAATTAATGGGAATATTAAGTGTGACACTGGACTTCGAGATGCTCTGCTCAGTAATTATAGCATTCGTGCAATGAGCCATCTGACAAATGTAGGCCTGTGGTTGGGAGAAATAAACAAAGGCAACATAAGAGGAATCACAGATTCCTCATGTAAGTCTCATCTCCTACTTTCCTCCACCCTTTCTCAAATCGGGATTCTTTTCCCCCTGATGATGTGTATAAAACAGTAATAATAAAGCCCACTGAGACAAGTAGACCTTCTTATAAACTGGGTCCATGAGTTTGTCTGTATAAGACTCTCTCTGTGCAAGACTTTCCTGTTTTCTAATTAACATGATCCTGTTTCTTCTTGTGAATTTAATGTTTTTTTCTTGTTGTAACAGACATGAACTATTTTTTTTCCTTTGTACGTAATAAAGGAGTGAATGTATTATATATATGAATGTTATATGTAGATGTATGTATGCTATATAGAGATGTATGTATGTTATATATATAGATATATGTGTCTATATCTATATATGTGTGTGTGTATATATATATATATATATATATATATATATATATATATATATATACACATATATATGTGTGTGTGTGTGTGAGTGAGTGTGGGTGTGTGGATGTGTACATATTTCATAATGCATAAGAGTACCTGAGGAAATGGCTCAGGTTGAACTGGTTACTGTCTGGTAGCACAGAACTATCATGACCAAGAAGCAGCAGCAGAAATGAACAAAGAGTGGCCCTTCTTTACAAGATTTTTGTTGTTGTTGTTACTATTGTTGTTGTAACTCTTGACTTGACCAGAATGATGATCTTAGCACTGTCATAGAACAAATACAATCATGACTAACATATCACATCTATCACCCTTTGAATCATATTAATTTCTTTGAGTTATCAGTTTCATTCTCTGGTTCAGTAGAAACATGTGGCCTTATGGAGTTTTATGACCTAGAGAGAAATGTTCTTTAGTTACCTTTCTGGAACTGTTCATATGAATATGACTTCAGTCTTCCTGAATCTGGACTTCCAGATGATTATAGGATTAATAGCTAAATCAGCAGGTTTGCAGCACATGAAAGTTTCAAAGTTCTTTTATACATTTTATATATATATATATATATATATATATATATGAATGTTATAAATAGATGTATGTATGCTATATAGAGATGTATGTATGTTATATATATATATATATATATATATATGTATGAATGTTATAAATAGATGTATATATGCTATATAGAGATGTATGTATGTTATATATATATATATAT